ACTGATTGAGCAGCAACACTTGTAGTCACTTTAGGAACATTGTGTTATTGCTCCTCAGGTTAGTCAATATTTGATGGGCTACACTAAATGACTTATTGACCAATAAAAGAGTCATTATCCAACACTCAGATTTCCTTAAAGAGTAAACAAAATAATTGAGTTGAGCCTATAATGAAGATGAGGCCTAAAAAATCAAACATTTCTAAAAGTCATAGAGAGGCGAAGTCCCTCCCTTTTCACAAGGGGAGTTAGTCGGTTCCGTAAGAGCCAGCATGCGGGACCGGGATTCTGGGATTTGTAGTCTNCCCAGTTACAGCATGATGATGAGGATGATTATTTTAAGTGCTAAATGCTCATAATTTATGCTTGAATATAATATGTGAGTCATAGTTATCACACATTTTTTGATAAAAATGTGTGATAACTATGACTCACATATTATATTCAAGCATAAATTATGAGCATTTAGCACTTAAAATAATCATCCTCATCATCATGCTGTAACTGGGTCAGGACAACAGAGTGACTGTCTGCATAATATCCAACCTAAAGCTCACTTCACTGCAGTTGCATTGTGGGGTGTCAAACTCAAATACACAGTGGGCCAAAATAAAAAAATGGGTACTAGTCGAGGGCCGGACTGGTTCAATGTGTATTGCAAAACTTATTGAAATGAACTCATTGCACATATTAAACCTGGAACTAACAAAGCTTAAATTATTTCCTATAAAAACAACATTAAATAATCAGATGCATTCATTTCTTATGGCTCTATCTGCAGCTTTTCCAGAGTCATTTCTTATGATTACATTTTCCCACAGGCCAACAACAGCTTCAACAAAACTATTTCCCTCAAAGAGAAAAGCAAACATGCCCTGTTGTCGTGAGAGAGAAAGTGCAGAAGGAAACATCCATTAAACTCAGTGTGCTGCTCTGTGATGCTAGTTCAAGCAGATACTTGGCATCTCATCTTGGGTGCAAGTTCATCAATGTTTGGGCTCAGGCTCTGAGCTGAGGAAACCCTCAGGGTTGAGTGAAGGTGTGCGTGCAATATACCGGCGGGCCAGATCTAATAGTAATAAAAATTATCCTGCGGGCCGAAATTAAATCCACCAAGGGCCTGATTTGGCCCCCGGGCCTTGATTTTGACACATGTGATTTAAGTGTTTCAAAGGAGCGTTTTTGTCCGAAGGAAAGTAGCAGAGGTGGGAGAAGTCTAGATATTCTACTTGAGTAAAAGTAGAAGTACAGAGTGTAGGAATACTCTGTTACAAGTAAAAGGCCTGCATTCAAATGTTACTCAAGTAAAAGTACAAAAGTATTAGCATCAAAATATACTTAAAGTATAAGTAAAAGTAGTCATTGTGCAGATTGGTCCATTTCAGAATAATATATATGATATGTTTTATAATGATTGATCATTAAAGTGTTCTCAAAGCTGGTAAAGGTGCAGCTAGTTTGAAGGACTTTGTATACTGCAGGGTAGCTTGTGAATTTACTCCAGGTGGAACTAAAGNGTGTGCCTTGGCAGTCTCAAAGCTGGTAAAGGTGCAGCTAGTTTGAAGGACTTTGTATACTGCAGGGTAGCTTGTGAATTTACTCCAGGTGGAACTAAAGTCTGATTTAACACTTGATTATATTTCACATCATTCATCCAGATCTGTAAAGTAACTAAAGGTATTCAATACATGTAGTGGACAGGATTTACATCTGAATTGTTGTGGAGTTAAAGTAGCATACAATGGAAATGCTCAATTAAAGTACAAGTATCTCAAAATTTTACTTAAGAACAGTATTTGAGTAAATGTACTTAGTTACTTCCCACCTCTGGAAAGTAGTCACCAAAGTTTAAATTCAAATTTGTTGATTCAAACATCAGCATTATATCAACATTTTTAAATCTGCTTCCACGCTCACATTAGCATCCCTTCAGGTTTACAGTACAGGTTCAACTAAATGGTTTACTTTAAAAAGTTCATGCATCCAAGTCTTAACATCCAACACATCTTTAGTCTGAAAACCAAATATAAAATATTTACAGAAAAGAAAAGAAAACTAAATTATGATTATGTAGTTTCTGTAATCATAGGCATCGCATGTTGGCCTACATTAAGCACAATTATACTTATAATTTTAGGGAGTATTCGTGCAAAAATGTGGTTTCCAGTTTGAAATTTAAATCTGTGTTTTTTTCTCTTAACATTGGGATGTATTTGCAGGTGTTTTGGTGAGAGTTGGACCCTGAAGTGATGAAGGCCTATTTTGTATCAGCAAGTATGTATTTCAATTAATTGGCAGCACTGACACGATGTCAGGCGTGTGGCGCAGTGGAATAGTGTGTTGGTGTTCGGATCAGGTTCAAACCCCACTGCAGTCAGCATGTCGTTGTGTCCCTGAGACAATTCACCCAAAAATTGCTCCTGTGGGGATTGCCCACAGTATTGAGTAAGTAAGTTGCTTTGGATAAAAGTGTTTAACAAGTGACATGTAATGAATGTAGCTGATAGCAGTGGAAAAAAAAAACATGATGAGATGCAGATTCAGTAATAACGTTTAAGGCAGGTAGTAAGTAATTCAGTTACATCTTTCAGTAAGTGTTCATTTTGGCAACTAAGGTGATGAAAATGAATCAAATTAGGACTACTGCCTAATGGGTGTATTCCTCCGCCCATCAGTCAAGTTGCAGTTTACTATGTCTTTCCAAAATATCACCCCTTCATCATTTTATCCTATGAGCCATTTTTGTCATAATCACTAAATTGGTTTACCTGTAAGGCAGGGTTTAAAACAGGTTTAGTGAGGTCACAGTGACCTTTGACTTGAAGCTGTTTTTTAGTTGAACATTCTTGGATCTAATAGCTTTTTGAATAATTATTTTGAATTGGATTTAGTGCTTCTTCAGTTTTGTGTGAATATTGTTCTTGAACTTCGCCATTTTTGTAAGTAATTTCTGTTCAATAGCTGCAATGTAATGTGTGTTTTTATTGGATATTAGTCCTTCTATTTTTATGAAGAACCCAGCCATTTGTATACGTATAAGGTATTTGCTACAAAAACACAAACTGGAGAAACAAAATAATAGGACTATTACCAATACTAAGAACTATAAAATCCTTTACGTACTTGACTATAAGCTACACATTTGTGAAATCAATCAAATACATTGTTTCTTATCAAATGAAAGCTGTGACGCAAGTCAAATGTCAGCCTTGATGTGATCATTAATATCGAATTAAAAGAAAGGAAAAACTCACTAAAGAAACTGCTCAATCTTTGAAACAATATGCTTATAAAATGTGAAAAACACTGGAATTCTAAAAAAAAAAGAAGCAGTGTGTCAAACTTTTCGAGTGTAGTAATACAATTCCCATTGATTTGAAGTCATTTGGTCACATGAAATAGAAACTCTGATTTCTTTTTGAAAAAAGAGGCAGCGCATGTCAATAGAAATCAAATAAAACAGAAGAAGCACTAAAGTCCAATAAAAATGTGTTTCCTAGTTTGGCCTTATTCGTAGTAAAAATATATTGTACTGGATTGCAGGCATGTGTCGCATAACATGGAAGCTATGGAAAAATACAATAGCAAAATGGTAAATAACACTTTTCCAGTCCAGCAACCTCTGACAGCGCTTTACAGCACAAGTCAGCATTCACACACTGTTGTCAGAAGCTGCCATACAAGGTGCCACCTGCTCATCAGGAGCAATACACATAACAATTCACATATCAATGGTTGTGCCAAGGACATATCAACATACTCTGAGCGGCCAAAGGATCAAACAATCGACCTTCAGAATGGTGAACGACCCCGCTTCCTTCCTTCACGATATGTTCTAGTCTTATAGATTTAGGTGCATGCAAGGCTGAAACGGGGAGCTTTTTGCATCTGTTTAGATTAATCAATGCAGGTGAGAAGATGGCTGGGACTTAAAAATGCAATTAATGTATTGCATAAACATTAATATAATGGCTACATTTGTGCTAACATGAAAAGAGCAGAGTTAATGGCACTGCCTCCATTGGTGATAAGTAGGAACTGCAAGAGGCACTGAGCTCATTATGACACACTGACTGTGAATTATCTTATTATCTTATCTGATCATCTGAAAACATCAATATGCACTAAAAGCATTTTGAATTATTTCAAAATGTAAGCTGTGAATTACATCTGTTTTGACCACAAATATTGTATGCTAATTAATTACCCTCTCATGGGAAATGATGTTCCCAGAGGCTTTCAGTGTCTGAAAGTCAATTATGTTCCTTTCAGTCCATATGGGATGACATATCTGTTTGTGAAATTATACTAGCCATTCATTTTTGATGAATCATATTTCTTTAAATTTGTATTCATCATCAACATCTATATATTATTAACTAAAAGCACCATTCGTTCCATATATTTATCAACAAATGATAACATAAAATAAAAACAATTCCAGCTTTCGTTTCTGCCCTTTAGGCTACAGCAGTCACGTTTGTGCTATCATCCATTTTGACGTTGGCTATGTGTGATCTTCAGAACATGTGTTTATAGCTAATCTGAGGTAAAAATAAATCGAGAATAGCTCAAATGTTATTGTTGTAGGTCAAAATGTCTCTGGATCGCCAGCTGGAGTCCCTTAATTTGCACACCCTGATGGTTTGTCGCCACCATCTGAAATGTCCCTGCCACCATTGAATAAAAAAAAGCCAAACGCCAGTGACGTTTGCGTGCCTATAACCATAACGAGCCCGTGTAGTGATCATGAATGACACATGTTGGAAACCAAGGCCCAACCGCTCTCATTTTTGGGCGTACCGAAATTTGAAGAATACCGAAACATGGCGCACCCTGCGTGTGTGGGGGCAACCCCGTCTCAGCCTCCATCTGATGGCAGCATCAGGCAGTCCCGTGAAACATTTGCGTGGGAGTTCCCTTCACCGCCATGTCGGGATAGTGCACATCTCTCTCTCTCTCGCTCACTCTCTCCGGTCCCCCTCTCTCTCCGTGCATCCTCCCCCACATTAACAGCTTAGCACAGCAGCAGCAGCTCCTACAGCATCCAGCATCCAGCATCCATCCCTGCCTGCCTGGGGAGCAGCAGTCCTACCCGGCGCAGCACCGACGCACGGAGGGGGCGCATCATCCAAGTGATGCCACAGCACCAGTCGCATTTCGACAACAAATACCGAGAGTAGAGCCCTAAAGGAGGGAGAGAAAAACCCGCTTCAGCCTCGAAGACAGCAACTGCCCATGAAGATGTCTAACGCTGACATCGTCTTAAACGCCACTGATAGGATGGTGAAATGTAAGTTAGCCTACATTTTGCGTTTGCTTATGGCTGTAGATATTACATAACATCTCCACTGTTTAGGTCCTCGCGTTTTTTTCCCTTGATATTTGGCCTTTATTTTTCATGTCGTGCATTAATGGTGTATGCGGCCATCAGGTTGTGTTCGCGGTGATGGTGGGCTGCTGGGGCTTTGATGTTGATAAACAATCCGTTTCTTTGCTGCACAGCCCCCGCGAAGATCGGGCTTAGAAGCAGCAATGCAGCGAAAAATATGGATATCTTTTTTTTTTAATTATTATTGCACACATTTATTTATCATTTGTAATCTTTGCTGTCACGATTTCGCTGTAGCCTGGCTTTCGGCTTTGGGTAGGCATGATGGGGGGAAAACAGCTGAATTGCCGAGCTTGTGGTAGGAGCTGTGGCAGTGATGCAGCAGGATTTCACAGGCTTTGACAGGGCCAGTGGAAGAGGAAGAGTGCATGAAATTGACATTAATGGGGCTATATTTTACCGGGAGTGAGTCATGTTTTAATTGCATGAGAAGAGGTCCATAAGGAACCCCAAAAGCCGCATCAGTAGATGAAAAGAAGGATGTTCTTTTACTGAGGATCAATGGAGGATGATGAAGTGCTCACAGTTGTGCCATAACTCATTTGGAGCATGGATCAGCTCACAGTCAGCACTGAGCCTGAATATATTCACATTCAGTATCTTATTGTAATGGCCGAGCAGCTCAGTCAGCATTAACAACTTTGTCCTTTAGGCTTCAGAGTTGTGGAAACACAGGGAAGTCTGCACTGTAGATACTAATCTGTGACAATGACTGCAGGCAGTAGGTAGGAACAATACATTGTCCAGTATGTTTTAAGCTGTTGCAATCGAAAAATATGTATTTCGACTAACCGGTTTGAACCGTGAAATAAGGAACTGTATTGTCTTCTAGCACTGTCCTTTGTCCTAATGTCTGTAAAGTTGGTCTCAGGTGGCATCATTAGGTGTTGTTTTGAGCAGGATCTCACAACCAAGGAAGTATTGTGGTTATATCTTTGGCAAAAATAAACTGACATCCATAAAAATATGTCAAAGAAAGGTTTTATATCAGCAAAGCATCCAAGATTTCTGACTCAGACTTTTGCTTTGTAACATGGTCATGTAACATTTAGGGGGTTTTGTGCAAGGTTTGAAACACTATCATATGCATTTGTTTGATTTGTATCTCCTCAGATGGCTCCATAGCTTCATCCATGTCTTCAAAATCTACATTGATGGTTTCCTTTTTACAGTCCAAAATTGATAATCGTTTCAACACATGAATATCACTCTTCACTTATGTCCACATTCCTATCCTAATAGTAAAGTGAAAACAACTTTGATGCAATAAATTGAATAATGCATCCTTCTGGTGATTAAAGGAAGCTATCAAGACAATAGCGAATTGATGCGTAGAGACAGACAGTTCTTACAGTTGTAATGTGTGGCGCATGACGAAAACTACTGAGCTTTGAAGCCATGAAGTTATTGTAGTATGTCTCAATCTTAAACCACAATTCCTCGTTCCTTTCTTTCCTCTTACATATTTTTACCTGACACAACATATCTAAAGAGACACAATAACTGCTGGTCTGTGCAGTTTGTTTTCTTCAGTACTGTCACCCACCACGCTGTGGGCATACAGAGGCATATTCAGGTCAGTTATTTTAGGTATGCCAAGGCACACAG